GGAGACGGCATCAAGCCAGAGGATAGTAAGATTGCAACGACCAGGGATTGGCCTACACCACATACATTGATAGAGTTGCAATCGTTTTTAGGCCTAACAAATTATTATAGGAAGTTCGTAAGGAACTTCTCAACTATCGTTGCGCCCTTCGCAGATTGCTAAGGAAAGAGCCCATCTGGAAGTGGGACAAGGACTGCACGCCTGCTATGAAGAAGTTGAAGCAGGCACTGATAGAGTATCCAGTCCTTAAGGTGGTCGATCCGTCTTTACCCTTTGTCATCACTACGGACGCTAGTCAGTACAACATAGGTGTTGTTTTGCAGCAAGACGATGGCAATGGTTATAGGCCCGTAGAGTTCATGTATGCTAGGATGCCTTCAGAGAAGGTTGCGACATTACGTATAAGAGGGAACTCTACGCTCTCAGGCAAGCGCTAAAATACTGGATGCACTACTTGCTTGGGAGACATTTAAAAGTTTATTCTGACCACGAAACGTTGCGATGGTTAAAGACGCAAGCCAAGATGACACCTAAGCTTACTACGTGGGCCGCAAAAATAGACCAGTACGATTTTGAACTCAAGCCAGTCAAAGGTAAATATAATGTAGTTGCGGATGCTCCGAGTAGGAGAGCTAACTACTTTGGATCGTTCACTATCTGAATAAAGGGAGAGACCTGCAGGAAAGAGTTGAAGAAACACATATGCACCCTATTCATAATGACCTCCTCAAGAGAGTAAATGAGGCTCCAAAGACCGAGCCAGATTACCGCACTACTAACGGATTGTTATTTGAGAAGACTTACCTAGCTGCCCGTCTGTGCATTCCCAATAGTGAGGAGGTCCGTAGTCTGATCTTAGGAGAATGTCACAACACAGAGGGTCATTTTCGTCGGCAAAAGACTCTAGCCAATCTAATGCACGCGTACACCTGACCAAGGATGAAGAATGACTGCATAGAGTATGTTCGCAGTTATAAAGTCTGCCAGCGGAAAAAAACTACTACGCGTGCTCCACTAGGTCTTCTGAGACCCTTGCCGATTCCTGACCAGCCCGGGGATTCAATGTCCATCGACTTCATGAACGCAGGCGTCAAGAGCAGGCACGACAAGAGCCACGATAGATTTAGCAAGTATGCTGTTTTTATACCTTTGCCTTCAGAGGCACGGACCGAGTTAGTGATCCGTAAATTCTTTGATCATTGGTTCAATGAACACAGGGTCCCATTGTCCATAGTTAGTGATAGAGACACCCGATTCATGAGTCAGAACTGGCAGGAGTTGATGAGAGTCTATGACAAGTTATTAATGTCGTCTGGCCGTCATCCCGAGACGTCAAACTGAACAGATGAATAGAACCCTGCAACAAGTTCTGAGAATGTACATTAGTCCAGATCAAGTTGACTGGGACAAGATGCTCCCCAAGGTAGCCAGTGCCTATAACAATAGTGTGCATTTGTCTACATGCCACACTCCCAATGAACTGCGCAAGTCCTTTAGGCCGCGCAGACCATTTGAAGGACTTAACGGGGATCAGATTCATAGGCTACCGCCCGGTACGAGGGAGTTTGCTATACAGCACAAGAAAGAACTAGCTACTATTGTAGAGAACCTCAGGAAGGCCCAGCATAGGATGATAGAGCAAGCCAACAAACATCGTCGCCCATCACAGTTCCAAGTAGGCGACTTAGTCTTGGTCAAAGCTAAAGAGTTTGCTCATGAGGAGAACACCTCGCAAAAGTTCCTGCCCGCGTATAGAGGACCATGGCCAGTTCTAGAAGTCAAGGGTGGAGAAGATGGTCCGTCCTACTCCACAGAGATTCCACAACACCTCCACACCTACCCAGTTTTCCATGCATCAAAGTCGTTGCCATGCACCGTAAATGACCAGTTCCCATCTAGACGTTCCATGATCCCTCCGAACATGGATGGGAGGTACGACATTGACGGCATTGTAGGTGAAGACGTGTTTAGAACAGGGTCAAGGTCGTCCTCAAAAACAGTATAAAGTCAGATTTGAATATCAGGAACCAGAAGACGACCGGTGGTTCACCAGAACTGAACTTCTAGAAACAGCTCCCGACATAGTCAGGACCTACAGAAAAGACAAAGGGTAAAGGTCCTGCCTTGGACTGAAATATTCTCGGAGGACCTCGAATTTAGGCCGGCGGGAGTGAAACGGTATCCACCAGTTCGCAGTAGCTGATGCAGATCCCAGGGCTCGATCCCTAGTCCCCACCTTACCTGTGTACAGTACCTGTGTCAACCCGTAGAGTTCAACCTGCGACCTGTAGGACTGCCAGTGGTAGGTAGGTCATCGTAGGTTACAGGGTATACGGGATTCGAACTGTAGACCTGTCGGGTAGAAGTCTAGAGAGTCCAGATGTCTTAGCTGTAGACTTTCCGAAGGGTCAAAGTCGTAGCTGCTACTTACCTGAAAGGGCCAAAGTTGTAGCTGCTACCGGGCCGAAAAGCCAAGTACATGCTTCTAAAGTGGCCTTTCGGAGTCGGCCCACTGTAGGTCAAGGCAAGTGGGCAAGTGGTGGAAGTCCACCGCCCAGAGTTAGCAGTCCCAGTCCAGTCAAGCAAGTACCGCCTGAGACTGTGTGCACCGTGGGCCAGGGAAACAGGGCAGGCCAACGAGCCACAGAAGTATAAATCAAGAGGCCACGCACAGCCATTCATTCATTCCTGCGGAAGCCATGCGGAAGCGCTGTCTCAGTGGCTTGTGCGAGGAGGTCTGCAGTGTGCCCGAAGTCGAAGTGGGTCAGAAGAGCTTAGCATAGCAATAGCGTAGAGGCAGCCATAGCTGCCATAGCTGTAGCCGGTGTGTGTGTGTGTGTGTTGTGTGAGTGTTCAGAGTGATGCGTGTGGGATATGCAGGGTGATCCGGTGTGTGAACAGTGAGTTGTTTGGGCGCTGAGTCACCACAGTCGGTAGAAAGCAAACTCTTATCTGGGTGTCACATATCTGAGTATTGAGTGGCGCATGTCACCAGTTTGCTGTGCTGCTGTTTACACACATTACTAGTGCAATCAGACTCGTCTCATTCACACTTTTCAACATAACTGGAATCATATAACTACCAGAAGTAAATGATTGTTCTTCAAAGTATTATAATCCGAATACTCAAGTCCAATACCATTGATGTCCACTCACTTAGATAACAATTGCAGGATCTGACACATCATCAACTGCATAAAAGACTTAGTGGTAAAATTGCCAGTGCAGAGATCCACTCATGGATCAGCAACCAAGTATCACGAGAAAAACTAGCAAGGGTGAAATAGCCACATAATGGAAAATTGCCAGTGCAGAAACACAATCATGCATCAGCAACCAAGTATCAAGAGAAAAAATAGCAAGGGTGAGATATCATCCTCACTTGATTCAAGTTTTCAATACTGACGTATAAAACAATTACAATCCCAAAGCCAACTCAGTCATAAAATTGCCCATGCAGATCAACGACCAAGTACTAAGAGAAAAGAAGGGTGAAATAACCTCATAATGGATATATTAGGGGTAAGACAAAATAAATTTGATCGCAGACCTCACAAGTCTAGCATCAAAGAATAAGACGATAAACAGTGGTCAACCTATGTACCCTACTTTTTTACTGCTCGTTCCCTAGCACCATCCAAATTTCTACGATCTGACCAACGTAAACTTCAAATCGTCCCACTTTGGGTTGCCGACTGACTTCGGCCACCGACAGAGGAGCGGTCGAGATAACTCGTCAAAGCCATACCAAAGAATTGGAAGTATATATCCAAGGGTATCGATCCCCCTTGTACATGGTATGCCTCTCGTTCTCTTAGTACTCCTGTTACCTTCTCGAAACTGGTGGGCTCCAATTGCTTCAGGTCAGGAGTTTGCACGTTGGGTACAGATTAAGGGGGACCACCCAGGCCTATTAGTGCAACAGCAAGACCTGTAACGTGTTCACTCTGAGAGACAGTATTTCAAACCTTCGGTTGGTCCCAAAATTGTTGGGTTGGAAAGGTCAAGGGCCTGGTGGCAAACATCTCCCACCGCCATTTTGCACCGACTTTGGGTTGGAAAGGTCTATTAGGCTCAAACCTCCACTTCCCCCTTTCATGTAGTGGAAAAGGCCTTGACTCAATGCTGGGACCAACTGGCGGTGGCCCCAATCCATAGGCTTGCTGCCAACTTGTGGCTGCTCTCCTTCTGGGCACCCCAGCTGTGCATTTGGTACAAGGGGACCGAAAGTCGGAATGTCCTCAGAGATAGCTGACTATTTCAGCTTGGCACCAAGCATGCCACAGGCGGCCATGGGGGTTGAGCCCGCGACCTCCTGAGTGCCACTTGCCTACCTAACCAATTGCGCTGGGCCACTGGATACCTGCTATAATACAATGGCTGATTTTTGCCACAAAGAAGGAAAAAGAAAAGAACTTTTGTACATAGTGCTACATTCACACTTCCCAAGCATGCAGCATAGAACCAGGGGCCTGCGCCTTACACATCCCAGTATTCCTCATGCTTCTGACTGTCCAAGAAGGTACAATCCCTGAACAGACAGATATGAAGTTCAGTCAGGGGTTCACTCAACCACAGCCTATAAACAGGCTGAAGTTCGCAAATGAAAGGGGCACTCCACACAATCCTCCACAGGATGGCCAGTAATTTTTATGGAAAGGATAATCTCAAGAGACCATTTTTCTCTATTCATATGTGAGCCTTACCCAGGGCGTCCATGTAATAGATATCCCGAAGGACTGATAGCTTCATGCACAACTTTCATGTTCACAGACTTCCACTTCAGATTCATGTGAACATCAGCAAATCTTCTTCTAATTACACCCACATTTCGTCCATCCTGAGACAATGCCCACCTTAATCCATAACACACATTTTCAGATGAATGATAGAGAATTACTCTTTATGTGGCAAACAATGACAGCATAACAAAACACAAGTCAGGCGCACAGCACTCAATTATTCTTATGTAACATACACATGTGACACAGAGAAACCAGTAAGGATAACTTGCTTGATTAAGAAGTTGGGCTCAAAAACAAAGCCTCCACTTATTCTCCTCCAAATTCTTCTCCATCCATCCTCCAAAATTTTACGAGGGAAAAGAGAGAGATCGAAAAAAACACCAGGGCTCCAAATCGACCGTTTCACAGTGGCCTGCACAGGACAGTGCTCCCCCAGGCCCAAGAGACAACTTGACTAGCATATTAGTTTTAACTCACATCATGGAGCACTCACTAGCAACTCCTTCGCGCCTTCCAGTAACCAGCCACTAATCTCTTGCCCCCTTCCAATACAACCATCCTTCCAATAGAACCATCTCCTACCTACGTCCAACTATCGTCTACACTATCGTTCTACATCAACAAAACACTGTTTCACCTTCCGCGCGTGCTATGCAGATTCCAATCCAACCCATGACCAGACAGTCATCAACCTGGCAGATCTCCAGAGCAGACACCAGGTTCACTGGCAGCCTCCCAAGCATGCTCAATCTTTTGGGCCAATCATGTCCTCTGGCACAACCCACTCATCAAATTGCTCAGGTGTAACCACGCCGAGTGCAACAGCCGCCTCCTGCACAAACAAAGCATGCAACACCAAAATGAGAAAACGAAGTACACAACCAACATACTTATCACGAAGGAAGAGTGCACAGAAAAAAGACACAAAAAGCAGCACCAGGTACCATAATAGACACGAGACTACCAGGGGCTGAGATGGTATTACCATCTAGCCGCTGGTATTCCATGAGATGTAAGGGCGGAGAGCGAAGGGCTAGAACACGTGGGGATACAATAAGGGAAGAAAGAGAAACTAACAGAAGAATATCATATAAAAGACAAGAGGGCAGAAGGAGAGAACTGAGGGATAAGATAGAACAGGGCAGTGTGGGCAAATCACTGGAGGATGGAGATGGAAGATGGAGAACATAGAACAGGGCAGGGTGGGAGACCAGGCAGGAAAGACAGAAGGGAAGAGAGAAGGCAGAGAGATAGGGGGGTAAGGAGAAAGAAGCACACAGTAGGGGGGGAAGGAGGGCGGAAGAGCAAGAAACACAATCCCAGTACTCAGCAAAACCACAGAGGACAAGAAGCTAGGAAAGCCAAGTATAACAAATGATCTCATAAAATGCAGAAATTGACCTAAGTAAAAATAAAGTTAACTTAGAGAATGCAGAATACCACAGAATGCACAACGTCACGGAAAGCAGCACTCAACATAAAACCTCGATCTGCAAACGGCTACACTAACCTTCAAGGTTGTCCCTTCTTTGTGAGCCTTCTTAGCTGCAGCTGCTGCCTTGTCATAGCCAATATGTGGGTTCAATGCAGTCACAAGCATGAGGGATTCCCGCAAAATCTGGGAGATACGAGTGTTGTTCGCCTTGATTCCCACAACACAGTTCTTTGTGAAGGACAGTGACGCATCTCCAAGTAACCTCATTGACTGTCAGTTGGCAAGGAAACAACATGCAAAAGAATCAGCACACAACTCCCTCGAAATTTCGTACCATCCAAGAAAGAACACATCTAATGTCACAAGCTTCAGCTGCGGGTCACCTGGCCTAAGGGATGCTAATCCCAATCAACACCTTCTCCACCCCTAATAGTTCAACACAGCCATATTTCTTCAACACAACAGCACACACCACAAGTTTCAGGGGTTGGCGCTGGAGAGAAACGGCAGGCACCGCCAGTCAAAGAAGAAATACACATTCTCTTTTGGCACGCAGAGTATTTCTAAACACTACAAGGGTCATAGATTAAGATTTAAGAAAACCTCCGAGTTTCACAAGGGTCATAAATTAAGATTTAAGAAAACCTCAAGTTTCTCAGTGTGGAAACTTCACAGAGCTCATGAAGATTCACCTCTACCTTCTTCCCCCGAATACAACATACAGTCAGTACGGCTGCATTTGAGGCATCTTTCAGTCTAGGTACAGCTATAATAACCGTACATTGTATTCGGGCAAAGAAGGTAGTATACAATTCCAACCATTACTGGGCAACTGTTTTGCGGCAGCCTTGGCCCAGCTGCCTAACAAATCTCACTAACAACAATTCGACCAAGGTACAACACCAAGCAGTGACACAGCCCACAGCTAAATACGATGCGCACCCTGTTTTTGCCAATGTGGTTGTTAAAATGTTTAAACTTAATACACAAGTATAGTTTTTGTGTTCAAGTGTGTCTGGAGCATCAAAATGGTGTGATGGAATGATAAATAGTTTGAATGCTAATCAATTGCAATCTATGAATCAAATACAATCGCAGCCATCTCCCCTACATTATCATCTGCTTGCAAGCAGTGATCAAGAAAAGAATCAAGTTCCTCCCAGCAATGTCTTGCAAGCCCCCTTCCCGAGTGGTGCCTCTCATCCCTACCCTTATTATCTGCCTGCCTGCATGAGTTTCTTCTCTTTTCCCCAAATTTGGTAAGACATGCCCTTTCCCTGTACATGTTCCCATCACTAGCTATTTGCCTGCCTGTACAACTTCCTGCTGTTGAGTTCAACACAGACTCAATTACAGTAGCCTAGATACATGGCAAGATGCTGTTCTCACATCCACCTCATGCCATGCACTCATCCACATGACTAGAGAACGCTTAATCCGGCATCCTTTGCCTGCAGCAAGCTGACACACAAACACTCAATACATCCGATCCGATAGGCAGAGCGACTTTTCACCTGTAAGAGTGCATTTGCCATCACTGGCTTGAAGACGTTGAGTTCAAAATGACCATTTGAGCCACCAACGGTAATAGTCACATTATTGCCCATCACCTGTATCACAATCCACAGAGTACTATGTCATGACAGCATCCATCACAAAAAATACATAGACACTCGTCATTCCAGAAAGACAGTGCTTACGACTCCGAATCCTCACCATGACCTCCACTTTGATTGGCCTGAAAGGATGATTTCATGAACACCACCAAGCACACAGTCATTGGCCCTAACACCCATACATAAGGAAAAAAAACAACTAAAAACAAAGAGCAAGATCCCCAAAGATGGCATGCGTATTATGTTCAAGAGGGCAAGACAGTGCCTACTTGCACAACCCTGGCAAACCGAACTCCGACTACCAAGCACAGACCTAAAAGCCAGAATATTGACCTCCATTGCCACAAACTGTCAGCAAACAGGTGTATCAAGTGCACAAATAAAGCAAGCAAAGAAAAGCACCGGGCATACAGAGTTCAAAAGCTACATGTGAAACTCGTCAAGGACAGGACATCAACTGGTCAGATAATGGTCGGAAGCAGGAGTACCGCTATATAATGCCCTGAAATTAACAGCACACACCATAACCAGCCACTGATCAAGCCAATAAAGTCATTTGGCAGATACTTCGCAGGTTGTATAAGAAACCGCATCAAAGATCAAAGAATATGTTCTCCGTAACGACTGATTCACACTTCTTCTCAACTTTCGAAAGTGGTTACAAGCCTTCTGGTGCTTCACTCACCTGACAGCATACCATCGTGATGGCCTCGCATTGTGTGGGGTTCACTTTACCCTGCAGACACAAGGCAGACAGAGGCCACAGAGAAACCACATCAGGATTGAATCAAGCCTCATCAAAGAGGACCCCAGGAACAACATGACAGCTCAGTTCGTTGAGCACTGGTCGGTTATGCACCTTCGTGGCTTACGGTGCGAGTTCAAATCTTTGAGCCTGCACTCTGGTGCACCGTACTGGATATTGGTATTCTGCATTATTGACCGTTGTTGCTTAGGGTGTGGGTTTGGATCTTCGGGACTGCACTCCAGTATGATGTTCTGAATATTGATGCTCTGGATTTCTTGCACAGAGCTTAGGGCCATTAGCACACTGTGTTTGCACCATAGCCCAGATGGTGGGCGCCTGTGTTCCCTCTCACAAGTCTAATTCGAGTGCTGCTATGCCTGGAGGGCCAGCTGCAGCCTATGCTGCAGGCCAGGCATTAGACCTCCAACATACCCACTCTTCAGAAACGCAGGTTGCAGGTTCGATCCCTGCCATGTCCGAGTGGATGCTCATGGGCATACTGCCAGTTTCCTGTCCGAGCCCAGATGGATGGTGCTCAGTCGACTGGGGGTGTCCTGAGCCTGATGTCTTGTGCCAGGACAACATTCCAGCTGGCACTGCTCTGGAGCATCTACAGTTGGCTGGCTGGGATTAGATATGTGCCTTCTGTCTGCAGCCCAGTCGCTGGGCTACAGTTCCTTCACCCACGAGGGTCAGGCACCCCTTGCAGGGATGGCCCAATAAATTGTACCCGTTGGGGGTTGACAGTTCTTGATGAGAACGTAAGGGCTGCTCGCAGCATCTCAGGGGGACTGAGGCTGACGCCTGTGAGACTGGGTATCATAGAGGTACTCTCCATCGTTAGCCCTGAAGGTGAGGTGGGTTGGTACCTGCGCTCCTGAGCTGAAATGCCAACCGCCCTACCCTGAACGTGCACAATCTTCCCCAGAAAGAAAACAACACTGCAGGTCGCACTTCCTCTACTCTGCTACTATGCAAGCGGGGACAGAGGGGCAAGGGGCTCTACTCCATGGAAGAAAAAGCAATTGAAGAGACACCGCCTCTACTGGTTACTGCATAAATTGGGCAGGGGGGACAAGGGGGCCTCAGGGTAAGAGGAGGGGAACAGGAGGAGAAGGGAGGTCTCTGCCCCACCCTCCAGTGAAACGCTCTGCCCCACCCTCCAGTGAAACGGATACCACAAGACCACCTCTTACTATTTAAATAGGGTCAGGGGTACGAGAATGGGGAAGGGGTAAGGATGCTTCAATACTTACCGGCATGATGCTACTGCCTGGCTCGTTCTCTGGGAGGATGAGCTCGCCAAGCCCACACCGTGGTCCACTGTAGCACAGGAAAAGTACCCACAGAGAAAACAAAGCCAGAAAAATCAGAACAAAGGGATCTTAAGCTCTACGGAGCTGACTGCTGCATAGGATCAGAGAATCCGTTGGGACATCAGGCTCATACAGTTGTTAAAAGCAGTACAAAAACTTGTAGTTACAGGTGAAGAACTGGGGCATAGTGTCGATGTGCACTGCAGCGTGATAGGTGAAACTGAGTTACGTCTACTTGTCTGCATTTCAAGATTCGAGGAGCACAGTCAAAACAATCAACAGAGACTGCTCAGCAAAACGCTTTATAGCTCCCGCTGACTGCTCATACTTCATCACAATTCAGATGGAGAACAGACTGTCAACTGGGTTAAATTCAACTGAAACAAAACGCAGTAACAGATAAGCCGTCATTGATAAAGAGGCTCAATATCATTCATCTGACATACCTTCCAAGGAACCTGATATCATTAGCGATCTTCATCAGTGATACAGCCACTGTGTTCAATGCACCACTGGCTTCCACAAACGCATCATGAGCAGCCTGAGAAAGGACAAACCAACACATCCAAGTTAATTAGTGCATCACAGCATCAGTCAAAGCATCAGTCATGCTCACTGGCAAACTCCATATCACCAACAGATAGGACCCCATTGGCCGACAAGCATGCACTACACAGTTCTTTCATTGACACATAACTGCAAACCTCTTCCGTACCAGTGGGTTAAGGTCTTTTTCTGCCTCGCAACATGTACACCACAGCT